CACAGCTCACAGCAATCTCAAACTCCTGGGCTTAAGCAATTCTCTTGCCTTAGCCTCCCAAGCAGCTGGGATTATAGGCGCCCGCCACAATGTCTGGCTACCTTCGCTGCTTGAGCTATAGGTGCCGAGCTAATCTGAGAATATTTTCATTCTATTTATCTTATTGGAAGTTTTTTTCCATGGCTCTCGGTCAACAGTTGTTAAACCAACATATTAACTTGCAGTTGAAGTTTATTTCCTGGCCAGGAGGTTCTAGGGCAGCAAAAGGAACAATAAATTATTCCAAAAATTATGACAGCAAAAATTAACAGCCTTTATATATAAACATAACTAAAACTCAAAATGATAAAAGGAAAAATAACTGAATAGGCACCTTATAAAAGCAAAAACTATAGATGGCAAGCAAACACTTGAAAAATGTTGAACTTTACTGATTATTAAAGAAAAACAATAATCATATGTAATTGTTGCTACCAAAAACTTGAGAATATTCAATACATGGCATATGAGATAAGAAAAGCATCCTTAAACTTCTGGTAAGAGGATAAATTGCTTTACAAATATATTTATTACAGCATTATTTATAATATTAAAAAACAATGAACATATTATCACAAACACTGTATGCTATGATACAGCTATCTCATATATATTGCTATTATCTCATACGTGTTGCATATATATATGTATTGCAGCTGACTTTAATAAAAATATTATTTAAGAAGAATTTCTTTTTTTTAAACTTTATTCAAATTAATATGAGGGTATAGTATTTAGGTTACATTGTTCTCACTTCCAGGGTAAAGTTCCATTTGTAGAAGACCCCTCACCCGGGGGCATTTTATACACCCTCACAATGTGCACATTAGGTGAGATCCCACCTCCTCCCTCCCCACTCCTGCTTCCCTCTACCCCCAAATTGGACTATAACAGTGTTTTATTGTTCTTAGGAGCATGCAATGTTTATGTATTGATTTCATATTAGTATGGAGTAAATTGGATATTTATTTTTCCATTCTTGCAATACTTTACTAAGAAGAATGTATTTCTTTCTTTCTTTCTTTTTTTTTTTTTTGAGACAGAGTCTCACTACATCACACTCAGTAGAGTGTTGTGGCATCACAGCTCACAGCAACCTCAAAATCTTGGGCTTAAGCCATTCTCTTGCCTCAGTCTCCTAAGTAGCTGGGACTATAGGTACCTGCCACAACATCTGGCTCTTTTTTTGGTGTAGTTGTCATTGTTGTTCATCAGGCTCAGGCCATGTTGGACTTACCACCCTCAGCATATGTGGCCAGCACCCTAACTGCTAAGCTATGGGCTCTGAGCCAGAACAATGTATTTCAGCTCCATTCAGGTAAATGTAAAGTCTCCATCTTTTTTGATGGCTGCATAATATTCCATGGTATACATATACCACCGTTTTTTGATCCATTCATGGGTTGATGGGCACTTAGGTTGCTTGTACGACTTGGCAATTATGTATTAAGCCACAATAAACATTCTAGTGCATGTCTTTGTGGCAAAATGTTTTTTGTTCTCCTGGGTAGATACCCAATAATGAGATTGCAGGGTCAAATGGAAGATCCACATTTAGATCGTTGAGGATTCTCCATACTTCTCTCCAAAAGGGCTGTATTAGTTTGCAATTCCACCAGCAGTATAGAAGTGTTCCCTTCTCTCCACATTCCCAGCATCTGGTATTTTGGGACTTTGTGATGTGGGCTAATCTTTCTAGGGTTAGGTGATACTTTAGAGTGGGTTTTGATTTGCATTTTTTTTTTTTTTTTTTTGAGAGAGAGCCTCAAGCTGTCCCCCTGGGTAGAGTGTC